ACCAACCCGGCAGCACCCCAGCTGCTCTGCTCCCGACTTCCCCAATTCAGCTGCTGGTCAGTTTCAGCAGCAGCTGAATGGGGGAAGCCTGTCCGGCTGCCCCAGCGCTTCCGGGTTCCTGATGGTATCGGACCATCAGGAGTCCTGGAGGATTGGATGCCGGACTAATGGAGTTTTACTGTATAACAATTAGCCTATTCTTTTGAAGATGAATGAATGATAGATGGAGACCAAATGACACATACACTTTCTGTATTTCTCTGCAAGGAAATACTTGAACTGTACTAGAGCCATGATTTAAAACTGCTAAATGGAACACTTTTTTAAAAGAAAATATTTTTAAAGTTTGCTTTTTAAGAAAAACTGCCTTTGCTTTCTGTCTTACCTGAGGAAGAGTGCCTTTGACTAAGGCAGGAATATCTGCTTTAGAATAACCAATTGCAGCTAAGCCATCATCAACATTCAGATCAAATAAGAATTTCCGGAGCGTGTCTGCCAAAATAAGCCCAGCATCTTTGATTCTAGCAGTGCAGATGTCAGCTCCTAAAGTAAGACAAAGTCTTGACTGTAGGGTGAAGAGAGAGGAGGAAGCCATTCTGGATTTAATTTAATCATAATATCAGCTGCAAATATAGCTTCACATAAAAGCCTACTTGCTACAGGCAACCCCAAATAAAAAAGGGGAATCTCTGTCTTCATTTTGCAGTTAGATTAATTAGCAGTGATGGAATAAAACAAAACCAGGAGAGGAAAATGCACTGCTGCTAGGAAAAATTAACTGCTATGCCAAATCAACTTCCTTTCTCACTGTGCTACCCTGGAAAAGCATTTTTCAGTCAGACTAATTGCTGGAAGCAGCAGTGGAAAGGAAGTTAGAGCAGGCCAATGTCAGTGGATAGCCATAATATTCATTCTTAGCAATAGTGCCATACACTCAGTTTTCAAAGCCTTGAGTTTGCTGACATCTAGAGGACATGCAAACAAGTGACTAATGATTTGCTTTGCCTTCTTAATTTTATGATGAAAACTCAATCAGAGGTCAAGAGTGTGTGTGTGGGGGGGGAGGGGGAAGAGGGAGCTCTATGGGTGTTTGGATAATACATTGGTTAGTATCATATAATAATCCAGATTAGAATAATTAAGTAGATTAGACAGAAGAGAAGGAATGCTAGTCCTAGAAACAGCTATGAAAAGGAGGTAAGACAGTCACTATTTAGGGAAAACGCGACAGATGTTTCTTATAAAAAGATTACTCTCTCTCGTGAATTGATGATATTAGAGGTAGGGAGAGTGGGATGTTTGTGAGTTAATGGTATTAGAGGTGATAATTGGGGAAACTGTCTTGGTAATGGGTGAGATAGTTCAAATGTTTGTTAAGTCCTTGTTGGCAAGTGTGAAGAGGTCAAGAGTGTGTGTGGGAGGGGGAAGGGGAAGAGGGAGCTCTATGGGTGTTTGGATAATACATTGGTTAGTATCATATAATAATCCAGATTAGAATAATTAAGTAGATTAGACAGAAGAGAAGGAATGCTAGTCCTAGAAACAGCTATGAAAAGGAGGTAAGACAGTCAATATTGAGGGAAAAAGCGACAGGTGTTTCTTATAAAAAGATTACTCTCTCTCTCTCTCCAGAGGACAGGTGGTGGTGGTGGGGAGGGTATAGATTCATTAGCAATTGAAAAGATGTACATGCATAACGGTAAAAAAAAACACCCCAAGTTTTATTTTTAACCAATCGGGCCAAGTTTATTCTTAATATAAATCCAATGAAGTCAATGAAGTCATGCCATCACTGAACTTTTCTCATGCAGTTTACTGAAAAAATGAGTAAATGTGCAACACAACTACAACAAAATGCACTTTGGTTCTCTAACAACACAGTGTAACAGTTAAAACAGTTTGAAGTTCATGCAGGGACAACAAACTCCTGTCAGGGGCTTCGGTGTTTGGATCGTAAAGTAACAAGATGGCTGTGGCTATAATGGATTAAGTGACAAAATATGATGGAAACCTATCTGTAGGGTGACCAGATGTCCTGATTTTAAAGGGACAGTCCCGTATTTAAGCCTACCTGCATGTGTCCCAACTTTCTTTAACATGGGCAATGTGCCTTATATTTTCTGTCTCTTCCCATCAGTACTGGCAGATCCACTTCTAGTGCTGGCTGTATCCCTGCTTGCCAGCTGCCCGCCACCAGTAATGAGTGGGACAATAGGGATGGGTGTGCAAGACTGGTGACGAAGTGAAGATGCAGCACAAGGAGCTGGCCGCTCCCTTGCTGGTCCATCAGCGCAGCCCCTACTGCATGCCAGCTCTCAGCCAGCAGGGCCTGTTCCTGTTCCATTTCTGGCCACCACTGGCTGCCTGTTGTGAGCTGTGGTGGTTGAGTAGGTGCCAGGTGGCAGCCAGGTACGCATCATCTCTGCACTCACCCATCCGCCCTTCACATGTTTCCCCTCACTGCCCTCTCCCCTCATATACCTCGTTGCAGGGCATGTCCTACTCCCAATGCTGTACAGAGACCCAGCCACTGCTGGGAGCATTCAGTTCACCAACAGCCTGGCCGGCAGGCTCCTTCTTTTCCCATTGCCTCTGGCTGGGCCAGCACTCCTGGACAGCCTAAGACCATCTAGGCTGGAGGAGCCAAGCCCTGCATGTGCCAAAGCCGCATACAGCAGTGAAAGCCTCTCTGCCCCTCAGCTAAGCTCTGGAGTGGTGAGGGGAAAGCACCTTCCAGCCTCTTCAAGCCCCAATCCTGCAGGTTCCACAGCAGCCCTCTGGCAGGGGCTTGGGCAGCCTCTTCATCTGCCTGCCCCATGGATCTTGCCCCCAGGGAGTGAGGGCTGCTCTGTCCTTTAGGCACCCTCTGCTACTGAGCCACTTCTTTGGCTGGGTTCACTGATGCCCCTGCAGACAGATTCTCTGAGCCCAGTGCACAATGCATCCATAGGGCTTAACCCCTTCCTGCCCATGTGGTAATCAGTGGATAGGAGGCAGCTGGATTATATCAATGGTCAGCAGCATCCTGGCGGTGTTAGCAGCCTTTGAACACTTTGTGGGCAGGAAAGGACAGGCTGCTTCCAGTCACATGAGGAGAGTGGGGGGAAGAAGAGACGAGTTCTGCAAGGACATGAGTCAAAACATCCCTTGCTCCTGGGGCCCTCCCCGGATGCTGGAAGCAGCTCCTGTCCCTTCCCCCCCACATAGTGCCAAAAGGCTGCTGCTGGCTGCCCCTTCTGGTGTGAATCCTGGCAGAAAGCTGGGGTAAGGTCATGTGTCCCCACAGATTCCCTTGGGAAGATGTGGCACCAAGTATCAGGAGATGTGGCTCCATCCTGGGGTCCCAGCCAGGCATGAAGGGAGGAGAGCGCTGGTAATGGAGGCTTGGGTCGATTGGGCCCTCTCCCTTGTGTGAGAGAGGTGTATGGGAGTGTGCCTGTGTGTCACTTCTCTGTGTTTGTGTGGGGGGGGGGAGGGAAAAGGAGTGTGTGTCACCCCTCCCTGTGAGAACTCCGGACTCAGTCAACTTGATGTTAATTTGAATGTTTGTACTGCACAGTTCGAATTGATTGCTGTTGAACTCACTTGAATACAAGTAATTTAAACAGGTGTCCTGTATTCAGCACAGGGAAATATGGGCCCCCTATATATGAGTTGTTTTCAATCTGAGAATTTTCCTAGTTAGAAAGAAGATTTCTAGCATCAGCTCCTCTGCTGTCATGTGCTATATTACCCGTGAACCCTGCCTGCGAGTCAGCATAACCCAACTGCCGGATGATCACCTCAGAGCAAAGAGGAAACCTGTGGGAGTGCAGAGCTAGAACAGGCTCTCTCTTACATGACCTCACCTTCCAGCGTAAGAAGGGTGCCCAGAAGAAGGGGGAGCATAGCTGACATGTCCCTATGCTGCACCACTTCCTCTCTACAGTTTTGTCCTCTTGGGGGGTAAGTTACAGCAGTTTAAAAGGACAGAGGATGAAGTTTAAAGGGTCCTTTAACTTCTGCCTAGAAACCCCTGGATGCAGCACTGAGGGAAGTAGCAAAGGTGAGCTTTAGGCAGTCTTTACACAGACCACCTCCCACCCTTGTGCTGTGTATGGCTCAGCCAGACTCCAGGATGTAGCCCTAAATTTTAGACTCTGGGCTATCACAATCCTCCTTTTTATCCAGTATATGCAGAGATTGTTTTCCCTGTGGAAAACAATTTTGAAAGGTCATTTGTACCGCTAGGTTTTATGAAGAGAGATTCTTACCTAGTATCTCTGCAGCCTCCAAGTGCCGTTCAGGGCACATCTCTGCTGTGAAGGTAAATACTGCTGGGGAGGTGAGCACCACAGAAAGACCATGTGGCTGGAGAAAAAAAAACACAGCGCACAGTAACTGGCTTCTCACTGCTGCTACACGTTTGTTAGGCTAATGTAAGTGAAGTACAAGTGCTGGGAATAACTGAAGGAAAACAAAAGGAATCAGCTCTTACCACCAGAGGATGATCGACATTATAGTCCTTTGCTTTGTAACTCTTCACCAAGCCAGAAATAGGGTAAGACATTCCATGGCTGGGGGAGAAAGAAAGTGGTCAGGGAACTAGCCTGGGACTTGGGAGACCTGAGTTTAATTCCTTGCTTTGCGACACTTCCTGTGTGACCTTGGCCAAGTCCCTGAGGGACAGATTTTTAAATATATTTAGGAGCCTCCTGACTAAAGCCAATGGGATTTAGGAATCAACAACTTCAAAATCTGGCCCTTAATTGCTCTGTGCCTCAAGTCCTTATCTATAAACAGGAGAGCACATCATTTTTCTGTCTCACACAGGCACTGTAAGGATAAACGCAGTAAGAGATTGGGAGGTGCTTGGAGACTTGGATGATAGGGTCAGCTCAAAGTACTGTAAGCAGACTTTCTTCACCTCACCGTGGGAAAAACTTAAAAAACAACAAATGGTCCTACAGCACCTTAGAGACTTACAAAAAATGTAGATGGTATCATGAGCACTTCTTCAGATGAATGGAGCAAGGGGTCCAGAGGTACAAATAGTTTCTCACCATGCTTAAAGGACATAAGGGAAAATTTTGGAAGTTTATTACAAGGGGGAATTTACTTGATTGAATCAAAGGAGTGCAGAGAGGAGTTCTGCATAGATGAGTATTATATAAGTTGCAATAATTTTTTGTGGAATTTTGGGGATAGGCCTCAATTCAGCACATGAAGCCCATACATAACTATTGAACATGGGAGTAGTGCCATTGATTTCAATGGGAACATTCATATTATGGAACTATTATGGAGCTCATTTGGATAGGCATTACTTTAAGCTCTTTATTTATATTTACAGAAACATTCATTAGAGCTCATTTTAGCTTTCAAAATAATTAACTCAGTAATGAACTTACTGCATATGGTCTTGATTCAGGAATGGCAGAAGATTTTTCCTCTGTGCATGTTCACTAGCTTCTTATTGCAGGGGTGTTATTGGTATTTATTGTGGAGCTGCCCAATTGAGGGAGTTACAAGTTTTATTTATTTTTAGAACTGTGAATGCTGACATATAATTTTTTAAAAAGACAAACCTTATGTAGCCTGTATCTCCTAGCATAGTAAGATAGGTCAAATTTTGGTCTTCCTGTTTTATAAGACCAGACTCTATAATCTTTATGAACAGAAAGAAGTACTTGACTCAGCAAACAATCCTATCAACTTCAGTAGAATTATCTGAGGTGTAAGGAACTATTTCAGATGAAGAAGGGTACGACAATCTGTCCCAAAGCATTTTATCATGTCCCTAGCTCAGGGATTACTAGTCTGAAAGATTCGTTGGCAATTTGAAACAAATACGAAAGAAACAGGGTTTAGAAACTGGCTGACACATGTTCTCTACTCACCAAAGATGAACACCTGCGTTTCCAAAGCCAATACCAGCAAATGCACTTGCTAGGTGCATGTTAGCCCTTGCTTCATGATCATCAGGCATTCTGACAGCTCTGTGTACAAACACTGAACATTAACAAATCCACACTGCACTGACACACTCAGGAGAAAGGGAAAATGCTCATTTGGGGATAAGTGAGACAATCAGAACTAAAAAAAAAATGTCAACAAAGCTGGACAGAGGATCAGATAGAAAGATAATCAAAGAAAAAGTCTGTTTACACTAAACTGCATCAGTAAAGGCAAAACTCACACTTCTCTGTACAGCAGGTGTATACATGGGATACAATCCTCCATGACTGGTGTGACGATCAGGGTCCAGACCCACCAAGGGGAGACCAGGGACCAAACTCCCCAAAATAAGCAGTTCTTACTATGCTAGAAAAGTGTATCTAGTAAATCTTTTTCTGAAATATGGTGATACACTAGTGATTAACATCATTGTGAAATGTGTGTATTCACACGGTGAGGAATTATGGATACTATTGATATTATGCTTTGAAGTCTGTGACCAAAGAAACGGAGAACAAGTTATCTTGCAGCTAGGAGTGAAGGCAGGTATCTACGTGTCTCCAGTGTAAATTTAGCTGTAGGGAATCAAAACAATGGAAGCCCCATTGACACATAAATGAGCAGGGGGATGGGAAATCAAGAGGAAGGGGAGAACAGCAGGCGGTCGTCCTGATGGGGGGACAAAACAATGCATTCTGAGTAATGTAAGAGGGACAGAGACATTTAAATTGTCCATCACGTAGGGAACAGCATTCAGATTCTGTGAAGGTTGGGGACCACTACTCTGCAGGGCTGGGGCTGCTGGCAAATTTATATAAGTAAAAAAACTGCTTAGACAAAGGCTGTAACATGCTGAGATTGTTTCAGTCACTGGAAAGTGTATTTAATGTTGGTTTTATTTGTAACCTTTCCTATCTCTTTTCATTCTTACTTGTAATTACTGAAACCTATATACTTTGTTAATGCATATAGCTTTGCTTTTATCACAAAACTGTCTCTGCACTGTGAGTTAAACTGAAATGTGGGTCTTCAGCTAAGCCACCAGCCTGGTGCGCACCTCTGTCTCTTAGGGGGCAGTGAACTTGATCACGTCTGTGAGGGTCCAGTGAGAAGAACTGAGAGCACGGCAGGGGAGAGAGACTGTTTAGTGGAGACTTGAGACTGGAAGGGCTGTTAGTGTCACCCAGCATCAAGTAAACAAGGTTAGTGGAAGCCAGGGTGAGGCCATTATGCTGGAAGGAGGCTGCTGGTATCAGAACTCTGAGCACACAGCACAGCAACACTCAGGGTTGTAGGGAAGGTGGTTACACAAGTTCTTAGTGGTTTGAATGATCCCCAAAGCATCATAATCTTTATTATAGTTCATAAAGGGGAATTACAGCCACTGTCCTATGGGTGGTTGGTGAAGGTAGGGTTAGGGGAAGCAAGTGCTGGACCCCGACGCCAGTCTTGCCCCTTCTGCCCAGGCTCCCCCACCTCTGAACCATGGGGAAGTGGGGTGGCACCAGCCTCCCTGGTCCTGGAGCATGGAGAAGATGGGTAGCATGTGACCCAAGGCCCCCTCCCCTAGAGCACGGGGTGCTCAGAGGCAACAATGCTCCTCCCTCAGTAGTTCTACAGTAGGCATTCTGGGGGCAGAGTATGGGTGGGGCCAGGCTGGTGGTTTGGGAAGTCAATGCCTTCACCTGCCAATTATACCCGTTGTCCCTGCACTGTCCCTTCCCTTCCCCCATGCAGGGGGGTTCCTGTCTACTAGCTCAAGTGCTGATCACAGGCCTTCCTCAACTCTTTCCTACAAAGCTTCAGAGGGTAGCAGAGTTACTTTGTTACAGAAAAAGCAGCAAGCAAATGGTCTGGTAGCACTTTATAGACTAACAAAACATGTAGACGGTATCATGAGCTTTCATGGGCACAGCCCACTTCTTCAGATGACCGGCCTGTGCCCATGAAAGCTCATGATACCATCTACCTGTTTTGTTAGTCTATAACGTGCTACAGATCATTTGCTTGCTGTTTTCTTCCCTCCAAAGCATCTGATCTGGTGCAAGCACAGAGCCTGCCTTCAGAGGTCTTAACCACTCCCCCTCTGCCCAGCCAGTCTGCTTCAGGAGTTTGATGATACAGAGACTCTGTCATGGGCAAATTCTATCCTAAAGGAATAATAAATAGGATGTCAGGATGTGTGGGTGCTATAAAGCCTTTTAGGTAGAAAAGTCTGTAGATTGTAAAACAGAACAGCTGAAATTTACTCACAGGCTAGACCTTCATCTCACACTGATGTCAACAAAAGACTCTCCAGTTAGGCTGTATCCTAAATGAGCTACTTTTAAACATACATATATTTTAACCCCTCACAGGTGAATAGGGACACCTACTTGACGTATTTACATAGTATTTTGCATAGATGCCCATTCACTATATTGAAAGCCATCTAGACAGATGATAGCAGTACTTATGTGTCATCTTACAATTTGTTCTTCTTATGGTGGTTATGAAGTATTAAGAGGTACATTTTCAAAGCATTTCTCTCTGATGTAGGTGTGTGACTCTCATGATTATGCATTGGGAAATGCTCAACTAAACCCTCATGCACTGTTTTCAGAAGTGACCTCCTGAAGACCAACTTTGCTAAACCCAACCTCATTCTGATTTTATTTGATGGTTTCTGCCTTGCTAAGGATAAAGCCAGGGTCTAAGATAGAAAATGGTGTCCTAATAAGGTGAGGAGTCACCTCACCTCAGGATATGTTTACACCGCAAAAACCTTTGGTCTGCTATGACGGCTTAATTGGATTCATGGGTTTGGACTTCAAGGCTGTTGCATTGCTATGTAGACGTCCAGACATGGACTGCAATCTGAGCTGTGGCACCTAGAGGGTCCTAGAGCCTGGGTGTGTCCACGTAGCAGTGAAACAGTCCTGCCCTGTGAGATCCTGAGCCAGCTGACACAGACCAGCCCTGGGTTTTAATGTGCCATGTAGACAGATCCTCAGAGTCTTGCACCAGCATTCTTCCTGACAGGTGTTCAGAATCAAACTTATCATCGACATGAGAAGTTACTAGATGTACATTACCTTTTCAAATACTTGGCCACAATGCGCAGTGCGTGGACAGCCCAGACATCACTGATGGGGTTGCTGCCTTGGTAAGCAGGTCGATTGACTGGATTTGAAGGGCAGGGACTGCGCATCTTGTAAGGAAGGGCTGTGTATGCTTCTAGTGCATGGCTAAAAGGAAGAAATACTTAATTTAAAAGTTCAATTTTTCTCCTCCATGCAGTCTGTCCTGCAGGGGATTTGGCATTCTACAAGCTCTGTATCCCTGAACAACATTGAAATTCCCTTCCTATAGGACAGGAAGGATTTAAAGATTCCAGGACCATAAATATGATAATCTACCTTCTCTTAAAGGTTTTAACCTTAAAAGAAATGGGAGTACATTATTCAAGAATACTGGATGGAACTGTCTGTGCTCAAAAGGCTCTTATAAGAACATACTGAGTCAGACCAAAGATCCAGAGAAGCCCAGTACCCTGTCTGCCGACAGTGGCCAATGCCAGGTGTCCCAGAGGGAGTGAACTGAACAGGTAATGATCAAGCGATCTCTCTCCTGCCATCCATCTCCACCCTCTGACAAACAGATGCTAGGGACACCTTTTCCAGACAAACAGAGGTTAGGGACACCATTCCTTACCTATACTGGCTAATAGCCACTAATGGACTTAACCTCCATGAATTTATCTAGTTCTCTTTTAAACCATGTTATAGTCCTAGTCTTCACAACTTCTTCAGGCAAAGAGTTCCACAGGCCGACTATGAGCTGTGTGAAGAAGAACTTCCTTTTATTTGTTTTAAACCTGCTGCCCATTAATTTCATTTGGTGGCCCCTAGTTCTTATATTATGGGAATAAAGTAAATAACTTTTCCTTATTCACGTTCTCCACACCACTCATGATTTTATATATCTCTATCATATTATGTATGACTAGTTATGGTAGACATGAAACATTAGCATTATTTACATTTTAACTAATAGATAAACATAGCCAAACATTTTAGAGTTTAAAAATAAATAACTAAACTCCATAAAAATGCTGCACTTTCCCAGACACTGAAGTCAGCTAAAAGTTTGAGAAATACAACTATAATTTTCAATACATTTGTCATCCTATTTTAACAGCTGCAATTTCCTTGCTGTATCAATAAGCAGCCATATAAGTGAATCTAATCTTCTGCATATTTTATGCAGTTAAAATCCTTAATCTGTGATTATTCCAATGTATCCTTCAAAACTTTGAAGGGCTTTTGTATTAAGTGATGTACTAAAAGCACTGGTTTGGAGCAACCAAAATTCAAATGCAAACTGGTCCAGTCTTGCAAGCTGAGGGGGATTAAACCTTGTCTGTAGCAGCCACTATCTCTCAGACTTCTAGAGAGAGCTTTGTCAATGCACTTCAGTCTTGACCTCTAAATCCCTGCTATTGTAGTCTCTGCTCATGAGAGGCAGGTGACTGTCAGATAGCGTAAATTCTGTAGTAGGTTTTGTGATGGGGTGCAGTCACAGATGACCCCTCGAGGGAGCCTCCTGGGGTACTGACACGGCCACTGCCACTCGCTTTCCTACTCTCTGGGGCTCCTCACCACCCGGTCCTGCTGGGCCAGCTCCGCTGGTCTCCCCCAGCCAAGGCCCCGAGCTGAGGTTCCTGCCCCCACCGAGAAGCAGTACAGACACTGAACCACTTCAGGTCCAAGGACAGTGCAGTTTAGGGCCTAGCCTCCTGAGAGAGCACTTCCCAGATGGGCTCAAACCCCAAAGAATTAGGCAAGCCCCCTTTTGCAATGAAAGGGGGAATGTGCACGCTAGTTGCCCCCGCAGGTAACAATCGCTTACACTGGGTTTGATAGAAAATAAAAATGGTTTTATTAAGTTGAAGCAGTAGGATTTAAGTAGTAATAAGAGAAAGTAGGCAGAGCAAAGTAGGTTACAAATAATCAAAAGAAACAAAACTGCTTGGCTAATTCTCCACTGAAACCTCAGTACAAACTTAAACTCACCCTAAAACCTCTTTTCCAGCTACCACTCTACACCAGGGCTGTCTTCCCCACCCTGGGGTCTCAGGCTCCTTCCTTCAGGTACAGCCTAGCAAAAAGACCAAGGCCTCTCCTCTCCTATCCCGTTTGTTAAGGAGTTGAAGCCCCTCCATACCAACCACTGCTCAGACTTAAGGACAAAAGATTGTTTTAGCAGTGGCTCATCTAGAAGTTGCAGGTAACACCCTTCATGTCTCCCATTCACACACTGGAAACTCACAAAGTGTTCCCCATTCCATGTGTCTAATTTTCCACATGCAAATGACACATACAACAGAGCAAGATAAACAGAACCAGCAGATCATGACATGAAGATCGATGGGTTACATGAAATATTTTGCTCAAACCACCTTTGAGTTATGCGTATTCATGTCCATGAGTCTATTTCCAAAAGCATGGGGTGGGGGGTAGTCCATCACAGGTTTGCTATGAGTTGTCTATGTTCTAGCAAAACATTTAAACCTTCAAAGCTGATCTCAAAAGAACGGACTCTTCTGATAGATGATATTTTGGCCCATGCATCTAATGTACATTTATTCTTAAACAACTGAATGAGGCACTTTGATTTGTTTCAAAAGTTTAGACGGACTGAGAGGATTGGTGTATTGAAGAAACAGAAAAGTGGGACACGTTAGGGAAAATGGTGTTTTTCTCCCTCTAACAGTATTTGTTTTGCTAAATTAAAATGATCTCCACCCCAAATCCAGCAGCCCACATAGATTACTTACCAAAGCACATCAAAGCCACTGTTGGCCACTACACGCTCTGGCATATGGAGCGTATGCAAAGGATCAATCATACCCAAAAGGGGTTTAATGGCTCTAGAAGCAATGCCTAAAACAGGTGAAATATAAAAGTGTGTTAATAAAAAGGATTGTTGGCAATGAACAACACAGTCTTACTCCTCAAATTGTAAAAGAAAAGTTCATGAGGTAAGGTTGAATTTAATATGGTCGATTTCTGGGCACCTGATTGTGCAAGTTGAAGGTGCACGTCCTCACTGAGGAAAAAAACTGAATATAGTACGAAGTAGCACATCTCCAATAGGGACCCTACTGTCGAATCATAAAGTGATGCATTGTGGGTAGCTTTGCATTCTGGGCTATGAATCTGGTGCCTGCTGGGACCAAAACTCTGCCAGCGGGTGATTATGGGCTCATGTCATCAGCATCCCATAGCACACTTGTCTAGTCCTTCCCCCTGCGTGAGATCAATGGGAAGCAATGTGCTTGTGCCTTTTTGTGCCCTGGTTTCCCTCGCATACCTCATAGCAGTGCAGGCGTGGATCCTGATTTGCAGCAAGCCATACTGATGCTGATGTGTGGTGTGTTGCGCCTAATAGCACACTACTTCAAGAGCACACGCATGTCACTCCACCAGGAAGAGGAGGATGAAGAATTTCAGGCTGGCACGGATACGCTGCTCATGCAAGCCCTGATGCTGATGCAAATGGAGCCACCAGTCAATCCTGAGGACACAATGGTATGCTGGTTCTAGTGCCGTGAGACAAGCACAGACTGGTGGGACCGCATTGTGATGCAGAAATGGGACAATCAGCAGTGGCTGCAAAACTTCTGAATGCGTAAGGCCACTTTCATGGAACTTTGTAAATGGCTTTCCCCTATCCTGGGGTGCCAAAATACCCAAATGAGACCTGCTCTGACCATGAAGAAGTGCATGGCAATAGTCCTCTGGAAGCTTGCAATGCAAGACAGCTACCGTTCAGTAGGGAATCAGTTTGGAGTGGGGAAATCTACAATAGGGGCTGTTGTTATACAAGTAACCAAGGCAATCAATACCAATCTGCTATAGAGGGTTGTGGCTCTGGGAAACGTGGATACCATAGTGAATGGCTTTGCCACGATGTGGGTTCCCTAACTGCGGAGGAGCAACAGATGGAACCCACATCCATTTTGGCCTACAACCACCTTGCCATGGAGTACATAAACTGCAAGGGGTACTTCCCTATGGTGCTGCAGGAACAGGTGGATCACAAGGGACGTTTCACTGACATCAGCGTGGGATAGTCGGGAAAGGTGCATACTACGTGCAACTTTAGGAACTCTATAGCCTCTTCAAAAAGATGCAGAGTGAAACTTTTTTCCCCGACAGAAAAATCAGAATCAGAGATGTGGAAATGTCTATTATGATCTTTGGTGACCCAGCCTACCCCTTGCTCCCGTGGCTCATGAAGCTATACATAGGCAGCCTGGACCCCAACAAGGAGGAATTCAACTACAGGCTGAGCAAGTGCAGAATGGTGGTTGAACGTGCTTTTGGATGTTTAAAGGGCAGGTTTAAGAGTCTCCTGACTCAGTTGGACTTCACCAGGTAGGAAGAAATGGAAACCCCAAAGTGGGAAGGGGGGGCTCAGAAATGTGCATAGGACCCCCTTTTACCTCCACAGTCCTGGAGGGTAAGGCTGCCCTTGAGTCCCTTCCTTCGTGTTCTTAAGCCCTGGTGGACTTTGGTGACCATGGGAGTAGAAGCAATGGGGTTGAGAGAGAAGGGACTGGTGTTGTCATCGGGGTGAATCTGATTCTAGGAGGAGTCCCTCTTGAGTAGAAGCAATGGGGTTGAGAGAGAAGGGACTGGTGTTGTCATCAGGGTGAATGGGATTCTAGGAGGAGTCCCTCTCCAGACATGCAGCCAGGCACTCCATCACAGCTGTCAGGGAGGCAAAGAGGGTCTCCTGCTGCCTCACTTGCTGCTCCCTGGCAGCTCTCTTCTCCTGGAGTTTAGCGATCCAGTCCTGCTGCTCTGCCTGTATGCGAGTGGGGCGTGAGGACAGGATAGAGTGCAGGGAACTCAAACTAAAAATAACCAGGAGAGAATCTTGATGGTTATGGCGGATATGATGACCCACATGTTGGCCTTCCAGGAGCGCCACATGCACAGGCACCTTCCCCAGCCCTTGAGGACATCAAGTTCAATAGCCTCCTCTTCCAGAGGCCCTAGGATGTGGGGGTGATGGACGGAAGTCAAGGGCAGCCTCACACTCAACTCCCAGGGATGTGCTCTGAAGGAGCTGACCTTCTCACACCTGTTATCACCTCCTCCTCCCTCTGACGCTCCCACCATGAATTCCTCTTCTGTCCCTGCTGTGTTCTTGAAAGAAAAACACATGAATTCTGAACAGTCTTTGTATTGCTTGTATTGAAGGAGGAGGGGGATTATAGCATTTACAGGCAAGCACACTTAACGTAGGGGCACCTTGTTAAGAGCAACATGCATGACTTTCAGATCGCTGTCCGGCCTTTCATAAATGTTTTTCAAAACCTCTCTGGTTTGCAGTGCCCCTCGCTGTGCTCTCCTTATTGCCCTGGTGTCTAGCTAGGTGCTGTGCCTCCACCCACCACCCTGTCATTAAGCTTTCCTCCTTACTCTCACTGTCTACATAGAGCACAAAGCAGGCTGTCACAACAATGGAAATGTTGCATCAGCTGAGGTCTAACTGAGTCAGTAGACTGCAAAATCTTCCCTTTATACACACTAAAGCACATTCTACCCCCATCCTGCACTTGCTCAGCCTGCAGTTGAACTGTTTCTTACAGTGGTCCAGGATGCCTATGTATGGCTTCATGAGATATGGGAGCAAGGGGTAGCTGGGTCTCCAAATACCACTATTGGCATTTCAACACCTTCAGTAGTCATTTTCCCATCTCAAAAGAAAGTTCCAGCATGCAGCTTTCTGAAGAAACAGAAGTTCCGAAATATGGCACATTATGCTCATTTCCCAACCATAAGAACAGCCATACTGTGTGAAACCGAAGGTTCTTCTACCCCAATATCCTGTCTGCTAACAGTGGCCAATACCAGATGCCCCAGACGGAAGGAACATAAGAGGTAATCATCATGTGATCCCTTTCCTGTCATCCATTTCCAGACAAACAGAGGCTAGGGACACCATTCCTACTCATCGTGGCTAATAGCCATTGATGGACCTAACCTCCATTAATCTATCTAGCTCTTTTTTGAGCCCTGTTAAAGTCCTAGTCTTCACAACATCTTCTGGCAAGGAGTTTCACGGGTTGACTGTGCATGGAGTGAAGAAAAAACTTCCTTTTGTTTGTTTTAAACCTGCTACCTATTAATTTCATTTGGTGACCCCTAGTTCTTATATTGTGGGAATACGTAACCATCCCATATTTATGTCCATGAACAGCCTTTCTGATCCAGTTTAAGTACTCCTTGGCAATACGGTTGGGGACCAAGATAAGGATATGCCTTCTGTCCATCACCCCACTACAGTTAGGGAACTCCATTACAGCAAAGCAGAAAATTATCTATTGCCTTGGCTACTTTGATCACAACAGCCCCTGGTGATGATTTCCCCACTCTAAATTGATTCTGAACTGACTGACAGCTGTCTGGTGTTGCAAGCTTCCACAGGGCTATTGCCACTTGCTTCTGCACTGTCAGAGTGGGTCTCATTCTGGTATTCCTGCACATCCGGGTGGGATAAAGCAATTGGCAAATTTCCATGAAAGTGGCCTTGCGCATGAGAAAGTTTTGCAGTCACTGCTGATCGTCCCATAGCTGCATCACTATGTGTCCCACCAGTCTGTGCTTGTCTCACGGCACCAGAACCAGTGTGCCATTGTCAAGAGGATTGAATACCAGTGGCATTTGCTAGTTGCTCACAGAAGAGTATCTTCAAGTACTTCACAGAAGAGTAAGTTCATGGCCTCCTGAGATTCTTCCTTCTTCCAGTTGATACGCTTTGGATATACTCCAGCACAAGGCACACTGGGATTAATATGACTGCCAGAATATTTTGCTGCTGAACGGGTTCCATGATAGATTCTATGCTTACCCTGCTATGGCGTTTGCATGGATAACCAGGGGAAAAATGGTGTGAAAAGACTGTTTGCTGTTGATTGCAAGTAGGAGGGAAGGGGGAGGGAGGGGGAAATGAGTGCTGATGATATGTACCCAGAACCATCTGCTGCAGTTTTGGTCTCAGCATGCACTGGGGTATAAACTAGAATGCAAATGGATGGCAGGAATGGTGGGATAGCTATCCACAGTGCATTGCTCTCAAAGTTGACGATAGCCACACTACTGGGAATACCCTACTTTGAACTACATTGAATTCTTTCACACAGTGGGGACATGCACCTTCAAATTTACAAAATTGGGTGCTAAGAAATCCACCTTATTCAACCGTATCTTGTAGTGTAGATAAGATCAGTTTCCCATTAAGCTTTCAACTAATATTCTGTTACACTATGTGTGCATTCTTTCATTAATATACTATAACATTTCATTCAAGAGAAAAAGCATTAATCTGCTGAGATTTGTCTGCAGTTATTGAATATCATTCACAACTGCGGTGGGTTCCCACACCACGCTGTGGTGAAGGCTCAGCACTGGTGATCTGGGATACACCAAGCAGAGGTGTTTGATCTCTACCTGCCTCGGACCATCACATTGTCATTGTCCTTGAAACACTCCGTTGTGGTGAAGGCCCAACGAGAATCATATCAGAACTGCGAGGGATCACTTGCGGTGCCTCCCTAAGGGCTAACCTGAGCCCAAAGGTAGAAGGTCGCAAGCAGCAATACTACCACTGATGACACAGAGACTTTTGTAACGTATAAATACCTTACCTGTATTGGGGATCTTTCTGTCTGTCTTCTCTTCTGTTTTGGGGTGGGGGTTGGATTTGTTGGTTATTGTTTTTGTTCCTGTTCATGCACTTGTCAATTTAAATTCTATAATATATTAGTAAACAATCTGGACTCTGAGGCTGTGTCTACACTGCACCCCTTTTCCGGAAAAGGGATGCAGATTAGATACTTCGGAATCAATCAGATCCCTTATCCTAAATTCTAAATTAATTCAAAAGATTATGCTTGTTACTGAGACTCTGGGGTAACAACCATGTGTGCATTCCATCATTAATGTACTGTAAAATTTCATTCAAGAGAAAATGCATTAATCTGCTGAGATTTGTCTGCAGTTATTGAATACATTGATGTGTCACAACTGAAATTACACAAGGTATTTATCTTATGGCAGAGGAAAATAATGAAAGTTTGGCAAAAAATCTAGTTAAGTACCAGACAAAATTAACGTCTTACCAGTTTTTACTTTTAGTTTTTTGTAGTCAAAAATGGCAATGCCAGTGGTTTCACTTCCTGTACCAGCTGTTGTGGGAACTTAAAAACAAAAATGGACAATTACTATAATGCAACAATAAATGTTATACACCTGCCACCAGACTTCCTGGAGTTGGACTCTGTGCAGTCACACTCTTGGGATATGCTGGCAGTGCAGCTAGGAGCCCTAACAGCATATCGCAGGAGTAGTAACAATGTTCTATAATGAGTAGCACAGCATTCTTTTATCAATTTTAGAAGTGTTTTTTCTAGCATAAGCACAGTGCAGGATTATTATATATTTGTATTGTGATAGCACCCAAAAGCCATAAAAAGTATTGTGGTCCCCTATACCTATGTGTTGTACAAAGGCATAGCAAGTCAAGGGATGCTACAAACCATTTAAATAAAGCATTAACATCTACTGCTGCACATCCAACCTTAAAATAGGCTGCATTCATCACCAGTGGAAGCAAATGCACATTTTGTTAATAAAATACTTGGAAGCTGGAATAATGATGATTTGGGCTTAATCCGCCTCCATCAGGGATCAATTGTACATGGTTTTACTAATGTGAAAGAAAGGGAGGACTGTTTTAAATGGAAGATAATAAAGGTTGTATAAACAAAGACATGTGTCAATTACTAAGAACTGATTCAAAGCCCATCAAAATCAAGGAGAGCTTTCCCATCACTTCAGTGGGCTTTGGCTCAAGCTCTAAATATGGATATAATAGATAATTAACTGTTAGATAAATATTCCACAAATTATCATATTGGGACTAAGAGGGGGTAGATCAGTGATGATGCTGATATATGCTATCCTTAAAACACACAAGTGAGTGATTAAACAAAACAAAAAAAGGAAAGAAAACACTGTCCAACTACATAAGCAGTAAAACATATTCCATATAATATAAGGTTTTATATAATGCAGGGTTTTTCAAACTCTGGGTCAGGAACTTGTAAGGGCAAGCTGCTAGCTGGCCGTGAGATGCTTTGTTTACCTGTACCTCCAAAGGTACAGGTGATCACAGCTCCTGTTGGCCACAGATTACCATTCCCGCACCCAACAGGAACTGCGATCGCCAGTAACTGTGAAGGTGCAGATAAACAACCATTCCCGCACCCAACAGGAACTGCGACAAAAATGAGTAAAGGTTTAGAAAACATGACCTATAAGGAAAAATTGAAAGAACTGGGTTTGTAAGAAGCTGCAAACCAGAGTTTGAAACCCCCTGATATAATTAATAGTGGGGTGTACAGATCAATATTTTATAATTATATAGCTCCCATCATGATGTACAGATTGAACCTCTCTAATCTGGCACTCTCTGGTCTGGCAACATCAATGGTCTAGCATGATTTTAGTTAGCAGGATGCCCACTTGTGGGTCTGACTAAGTTTCCTTCGGTCCCATAAAGTTTGCTTACAGCTACCAGTCCTGGCTCTCAAGTTCTGTGCTGTTATTTAGCTCTAATTTACCCCTAAATGTTTTCTAAGAGCCAAGTAAGCAGTGGAAGCGTTAGTAATGCTGCTAGACAATATTAACCTCCTGTGGTTCAGCAAAGATCAGGTTCCAAGGGTGTAGGACTAGAGAGATTCAGCCTGTACTTTGACATTGTATTTCAAAACTAGTTAGCAGGTCTAGGTCCAACGGATCAGACAGATGTAATCATTTTAGAATGTTGTGAAAAAGACATGAGAAGTCATTCTTCTGCTCTACTCTGTGCTGATTAGGTCTCAATTTGAATATAGTGTCCAGTTCTGGGCACCACATTTCAAGAAAGATGTGGAGAAATTGGAGAGGGTCCAAAGAAGAGCAACAAAAATGATTAAAGGTTTAGAAAACATGACCTATAAGGAAAAATTGAAAGAACTGGGTTTGTTTACTCTGGAAAAGGAAAGACTGAGAGGGGACATGATATCAGTTTTCAAGTACCTAAAAGGGGGTTATAAGGAAGGAAGGAAAAAATTGTTCTCCTTGGCCTCTGATGATAGAACAAGAAGCAATGGGCTTGAATTGCAGCAACAAAGGTTTAGGTTGGATATTAGGAAAAACTTCCTAACTGTCTGGGTAGTTAAACACTGGAATAAATTGCTTTGGAGATTGTGGATCTCCATCATTAAAGATATTCAAAAGCAGATTAGACAAACATTTATGAGGGATGATTTAGAGGGTGCTTGATCCTGTTATGAGGGCAGGGACTGTACTTGATGATCTCTGGAGGGCCCTATGATTCCATGATCCTCTGACTCGCAAACAGAAGTAAAATAACTAACTCAAAGAAAAGAAGCTGGTGATGAATAACAAGATCCTGAATTCAAATGGAGTGGAAGCAAGCCTAAGTGGAGGGTTAGATGACCAAAGATACATTTATTTTGATTGGGAGACCTTATACAGAGCCTTGAAAGAAGAAAAAACCAAAACAAAAAAATCCACCACACTTCTGCTTCTTTACCTGCAATGAGTGGCTTGAGAGGCATAGTAACAGACTTTCCTTTTCCAATGGGAGCATTGACGTAATCTAAAAAATCTGACTCAGGACTGGATGCATATAGGTTGGCAGCTTTACATGTGTCTATTACAGAACCACCTCCCACAGCGACATAGGCATCAAAATCCCCCTTTTTAGCAAATGTGATGGCATCCATGAAACTGAGAAGGAAGAGAAGATTTTGTCATAAACAATGCAATTTGCAAACTTAACTATTAAAATCAAGGTACATGTCACTTACACAGAGGCATTACCAGTGCATCTACAGAGGGAGAAAAATCCCCAAAAACAAAACAACCCCCTCCCCCCACAAAAAAACAAACCAAACAAAAACCAACCCACTTAAAAACAAAAGAACCACACAAAACAAACCCTACAGCAGTGAGTCTAAGAGCCTGAGGTGAACTGACTCAATTCATGCTTGGGAGCTAAAAACAGCAATGTAGATGTTTTAGGTTCAGGGTAGAATCTGGACTCTGAGATGTTGGGCTCCACTTTACTATTTATACTGCTACTTTTAGCCCTGCAGCACGAGCCCTATGTACTTGCATTAGGTGATCTAGGCTCTAAGACTCAGCTCTGCTGGTCTCTTTTTCCAGGACTGATGTACCAATGACACTACAGTGGTGGGAATAAGAGTCTAAATAGATACTTTGAGAATATGTGTGTTCAGAAGTATATAAAAGAAACAGTACCTCTGATCTGTTGGCTCCACCCGGACATCATTATACATCTGAAAAGTTATACCATTTTTTGTCAAGGAATTTAATACTGCTTTTACTGGAGGAAGCTGGCAGAGGTTCTTATCTGTCATCATGCAAACTTTTCTAGCACCCAGATTCTGCAGATCCTACAATAATCAATTAAAAACAAAGTCTGAAATCTTAAACTACATTAAATTCCAATCCAATTAAACTGAATTATTTGATACTAAATACTAAAATTTGCAATAAAGTCTTTCATCACAAACGTATATAATATCAACACAGTAAAATGAAATGTATCACCCACGCATACACAGCTATAGACAAAGGTGTAGTTTAAAACATAACTCAAACACTTAGGCTACGTCTACACTGGCGGCTTCTTGTGCAAGAACAGCTGTTCTTGCGCAAAAACTTGCCGAGTGTCTACACTGCATGTGCATTCTTGTGCAAGTAAATTTACAGTACAGTGTCGGAAAACAGGGCTTCTTCCGGAAGAGTTATTCCTCTCCCCACGAGGAATAAGCCCTCTTGTGCAAGAGCTCTTGCGTAAGAGGGCAGTGTAGACAGGCAGCATGAATTTCTTGCTCAAGAAACCCCTATGGCTAAAATGGCCATCAGAGTTTTCTTGCACAAGACAGCATCAACACAGTCATGGATGCTCTTGCGCAAAAGCACATCTCTTGCCAATGTAGATGCGCTCTTGTGGAAGACTGTTTGCACAAGAACTCTTCCGCAAAACAGTTCTTGCGCAAGAAGCTGCCAGTATAGACGTAGCCTTAGAGTGAAGGACACATGCAAGATACTGGAAATACACCTGCAGCTGTCCCATGGATAGCAAGCAAGCCAAAGCCACACAGGAGTAGTCAATTGTATTTTACAATTATATTTATTTACACAGTCCAGTAGATATAAGAGGGCAACACCAGAGAACTGAGCTAGCCTCGATTTCCAAAAATTGACTTGAAACCAGAGGGGTTTTCAAACTCAATTTACCTTAGGGTCAGTGCCAGTTCTCAAACCCTCCTAGCGGGCCAGCAGACACCACTCTCTGGCAGGATTCAGGGAAGGTGGAGGGTAGCTGTGTGTTCCCACCCACCTGCGCATCTCCCGACCTCTCCTGCTGCACCGTGCACTCCTCCCATCCATGCATCCCCTGTCCCACCTGCTGCCTGTGGGTGATTTAAAACACATTGTAGGTCCCCGTTGCCACCACCAGCAGTGCAGCAGGGCCACAGTGGCTTCCTGCTGCTAGCTCTATGCTGCTGCTGACATGTCCTTGTGATCAGTGAGAGGTGTGTGCAAAGCTGTCCCATCCACAGTTGTAAGCTGTGAAACTAACAACTCATTTTGTGAAACTGACTAGTTATCAGTGATGCTAACTCTCCTGATTTGATCATAAGCTGAGAATTGGAGCCTTTTTTTATTATGCCAGATCTGGGAACTTCACTACCTGATGCTTCAACCACCGCAGTTAACAGTGATAGCTCTGATTTCTTATATTATGCTTTCTTGGTTCATGGTATTAGAAGAGAATCCCAGCCCTTTTTTTTTTTTTTTTTTTTTTTAAAGGAAGACTTTAGGTCTCAGGCTTTCTGGAGAAAAGCTAGAAAACATGTCTCATGTCCAGCTAAAGACTTCAAACACCAGAAGCCAAATAAAAAGATCCCCAAATGAATTGTTATCTGTGATTTCAAGAAGCCATTCTCTTTTTGGGGACAACATACACTCATTTACACTAGAGTAAAATGGTTGTAAAATACCATCAAATCAGAATGTGTTCAGCGGGCTCACCCTGAGCAGGAACTCCACACACTATAGGGCAAGTGTGGGCAATAATTTTTGATTGGGGGCCACTCCCAAGATTTTGGAAAATGGTCTAGGGCTGCTTTCTTCCATGGTATTAATGGAGGAGGTGCGGGATCTGGGATGGAGGTTGGGTGCAGAAGGGAGCTTGGGGGAAAGGATTGGCATGCAGGAGGGAGAATGGAGTCTGGGAGGGAGTTTAAGCAAAGAAGCTGGTTGTGACCTAGGGCAGGGAACTGGAGTGCACGGTTTTGGGATGTGACCTAGGGCAGGAGGGGATTGTGATCTGGGGCAGGAGATTGGGGTGCCAGATCTGGGAGGAGTATGTGTGCATGTGGAGTAGAAGGGCAGAAGTGTGGAGCAGAGAGTTGGGGAAGCGAGGGGCTGATGTGCCAAAGGCAGGTTCTCGCCAGGAGACTTACCAGCCTGCCTGCCTGCTAGCAGAGCTAAAGACTTGCAGAGCTTAAAATGTTTCTGCCTGTTCGGCCATGTGCTTGAGTGAGTGAACAGGAGGGTTGAGCTCTGTGGCTGCCTGTTATTCAAACAGACAGCTCCCATTGGCCAGTGTCTGTCCAGAAACTGGACAATGGGATTGTGCTGGGGGTGGGAGCGGCATCTGAAAATTTCCCCCTCCCCTCTGGACTCAAAGAGAAAGCTCCCCACAGTCGCGTATCTGAGTGGCGTGTGGGGCAAGCAGGGGAGCCTGTCTGGGGCTCTCCACTGCCTCCACAGGCTGGATCCAGTGGCTTGGCAGGCCAGATTAGGCCCTCCAGCTGTATTTTGCCCAGGCCTGCAATAGGAGGTATACACACTTAATGCACCATGTTTAGGATGGTCTCCTGGTCTTTCCCTTTAGGTTCCATTATTGCATGGGTACTGAAATAACTGTACAGGTTGAACCTCTCTAGGGCTCTTACTACAATTAAAAGGCAGAGGTGCAGTGGGGAATCTGGGGTTAACAGGGACTCAAGCAGTCCCCACACAAACCAGTTTCGACTGCTGCACCTCAAGGCAGAGGCACAGCGGGGAAAATGGCGCAAGCAGGGACTGTTTGAGTCCCTACTCACCCTGGGTTTTCTGCTGTGCCTTTGCCTTTTAAACATAGTAAGAGCCCCGTGGGCAGCTCTTACTACATTTAAAAGGCAGAGGAGCAGCAGTAAGGACTCGGCACAAGTAGGGACTGTTTCAGTCCCCGCTTGCATGTTTCCCCCGCTGCACCTCTGCCTCCCCGGCTCCCCCAAGGAGACGGTGCTGGAGGGAACTAGCTTTTAAGTCGGCTCCCCCCAGCACTGGGCTCCTGCTTTCCCCCCCTTGCTGCCTCTGACACTAGACTTATTGGGTAGTTGACTAGTCGCTTATATCCCTACTACTTACTGGCCTCTTAGAAGACATTTGGGGTAAATTAGAGCTAAATAACAGCACAGAAGACTGAGAGCCAGGACTGGGGATTTTAAAAAAACTTTATGGGACTGTGTGAAACTTGGCCACACCCATGATAAGTGGGCATCTGACTAACTAAAATGATGCCGGACCACAGATGTTGCTGCACCAGAGAGTATAGCACTAGAGAGGTTCACTCTGTATATTCAAATAGCTTCATTAATATCTAATTGTAGAACTGTATGTGCTATATTTTTATACCGAAAATGTATATTTCTGTATGTCTGAAAAGCTCAGAAGTATTTTAAAATCTCCTACTTATTGTTTTTAAAAGGTTTCTTACATTTTCACTTGTAGGCTGAAGACTGAGAATTTTCAGCACCAAAAAGTTTTTCCTTTTTAATCATTAAGAGCAGGGGTGGGGAACCATTTATGGGTTGGGGGCCGCTGACCCACATTACAATCAGCCAGGGGCTGCATGCAAGTGAGAAGTAAAAACAAAACAAAACAAAACCAAAAACCCCTCACTGACGTGGCCCTCACTTGAGAGGGAGAAAGACACTCCTCATTTTTTCCTCCCACACCACAGCCTATGGGGCCCAGTCTAGTATATATTTCTGTGGGGCAGTTGGAGGGTGGCTGGTACACCAGCGTGGACTCCCCAATGTGGGTGGGAGGAGGCCTTGAGCCTTGGGGGCTGGATCCAGGGGCTGCATCCAGCCCTCAGGACTGAGGTTCCCCACCCCTGATAAAGAACAACAGAGCATATGGGTTTAAAATGAAAGTTTCAATACTATTATCTTGGCACTACTGCAAGACAAATAATAATTTATGACACCATCACACGTGAGCTTACTACTACATATTTGTATATGTGCAACTCATATTATAACTGTCTCACAAAAATATATTTAGCCTTAAATCTTTTAAACGTGATGTATAATGCAAACATACCTATAATAACCTAAAATCAATGTCACTTGATGGTAAATATCATTTTTTTGGAAAGTAACATTTCATAGGTGAAAGATGTATCAGATAAAAGCTTACCATGCCTACTTCATTAGTAACTCCTTCTCCGTATCTAATATTTGACACAGCCATCTACAAATAAAATTAAGCAATAGTTGTGTTAGAAAAATAACTACATGAAGCTCAATCCAATTGCCTCAACTGTGAATGTACCTTTTAAATAATTGAAATATCTTTTTCAACATACTAAATCTTCTCTCTGAACAGAAATATACTTATTTATTACATCTACCTCAAAAGCATAGTCTGTTCTCTTCAAAGCAGCATGTTCAGGAGCTGGAATGGAAGTAAAATATATACTTATCAGGAACTTTGAAATGTAAAACAAATCTTTATTACAACTTTCAACAATTTCAGCTTAGCAACTCGCTGGCTTTAATATGTGATTTTTTTAAAAATGTGTTTACATTTGGTTCCTTGTTTGACATTTAGATCCATTTTTAGTTGGGATTTGCTTGCTTTGAGTCTGGTTTTGCATCGTTTACTCATGCTGAACACTGGATCAGACCACTATTGATCCTGCACACCTATCCATATAAATAGTACCAATGATGCACTCCTTTAAATTATGAACTGTGCTAGTTTGATATATGTTGTGACAATTTAATGAGAGTGGAATTTTAAACAAAGAGTTATTTTTTTTGTTCCGAATAAGCTCTGAATAAGCTCTCAGCAATAAACAAAGAGTTATTTTTTTTGTTCCGAATAAGCTCTCAGCAAGTTTGCATGCATTTATAGCTAAAATATTTGCTCAGAGTTGGAGTTGGTGGAGGAGGGAGAAAAATGTTTCTCCTTTGCCTCTGATGATAGGACAAGAAGTAATGGGCTTAAATTGCAGCAAGAGAGGTTTAGGTTGGACATTTGGAAAAACTTCCTAACTGTCAGTGTGGTTAAACACTGGAATAAATTGCCTAGAGAGGTTGTGGAATCTCCATCATTGGAGATATTTAAGAGCAAGTTAGATAGGCATCTATTAGGGATGAGCTAGACAGTGCTTGGTCCTGCCATGAGGGCAAAGGACTAGACTTAATGATCTCTCGAGGTCCCTTCCAGTTCTAGTATTCTGTAATTCAATGTATTCAATGATTATGAAAGGACATTTCATATAAAAAAATGGTGGAAGCAGATCACATTTACTACATATACATAGGACCCTACCAGTGTTCCCGCTAAGCTGCACAGCAGCACAGGTGATTTAATCAGCCCTGTCCAGTAAGAGGCGTACCTGTGAAGCTGTGCTGCTGTGCAATGACCCTACCAAAGTCATTGTCAATTCTGGTCAACTTCTCAGTCATAGGATTTGAAATATCATAAATGTAATGATTTCAGCTATTTAAATCTGAAATTTCTCGGTGCCATAGTTGTAAGGATCCTGATTCAGGAGGTTGTGGTATTACTACCCTTACTTTTATGTTGCTGCTGGTGGCAGCACTGGCTTCAGAGCTGGAGAGCCATGGCTGTTGGTGGGGATCCCAGCTCTGAAAGCAGAGCTGCTGCCTGCAGAGCTATGCCCTCAGTCAGCAGCCACCACTCTGTGGCTGCTCAGCTCTGTAGGCAGCAACAAAGAGTGAGGGTGGCATGGTATGGTATTGCCATTTTAACTTCTGCACTGCTGCTGGCAAGGTTCCGCGTTCACTACTGGGGGCCCAACCAACAACTGCTGCTCTCCATATGCTCAGCTCTCAAGGCAGCGAAAAGTAAGAGTGGCAATAGCGCAACATTCCTAATGTAACCTTGCCACCCTCTGGAGCTCCCTTTTGGGTGAGGACCCCTAATTTGAGAAGCACTGGTCTCCAATGTTCCTTTTAATTTCTTCCATCCATTTACAGAATAAATTTTTACATGCACCGAGTCAAAAATAAAACCTAGCTGTGGGCCCTTTGCTAATCAGCTGGGCGGCATCTGACTCTCTCTTGGGCGGCCACATATGCACCCAGCTTACAGAAAATACTGCTGGTCTTCCCTGTGAAATCTGTGCAGTAAAAATAAAAGCACGCAAAAGGCCAGATTTCAGAACAGATTTCATGGCCTGTGACACATGTTTCATGGCAGTGAATGTGGTAGGATGGCCTGTGACACATGTTTCATGGCAGCGAATGTGGTAGGGCCCTACTTATACAATATATATGTTTCACTTTTAATTGTACCTGTAATAATAATAGTTATGATGCTCTTTTATACATGATTGGGGGGAAAATGTCCAATATTGTATTAAAATTAGGGCTGTCAATCACACAATGCATGTGAGTAGTACAAAACAAATTACGGTAAGTAGATTAAAGAGTCTTGATTAATTGCAGCTTCAATTTCATTGTTAAACAATAATATAATACCAATTTAAATTTATTATAAATATTTGAAAATGTAGAAATATATCCAACATATATTGATTTCAATTACACAAAATACAAGTATTTTTCAATTCACTTAATAGATATCCACTCAGTCCTATTTCTTGTTCAGCCAGTTACTAGGACAAGACAAATTTGTTTACATTTACAGGAGATAATGCTGCCCACTTCTTATTTACACTGGCACTAGAGTGAAAACAAATATTATTGTAGGCAATGTTACAAAGTATTTAAATCCCAGACACACTAAATAGTCATGTTTCTACTTACAGGCTCTGAAATTTTATACTAATTTGTTTTTGATAAAAGTTATGTTAAACAAAAATTCTATATTTGTAAATTGCACTTTCACACTAAAGAGAGTGCACTACCTAATGCTGCCCACTTCTTATTTACACTGGCACTAGAGTGAAAACAAATATTATTGTAGGCAATGTTACAAAGTATTTAAATCCCAGACACACTAAATAGTCATGTTTCTACTTACAGGCTCTGAAATTTTATACTAATTTGTTTTTGATAAAAGTTATGTTAAACAAAAATTCTATATTTGTAAATTGCACTTTCACACTAAAGAGAGTGCACTACCGTACTTGTATAAGATGAATTGAAAAATACTATTTATTTTGTTTATCTTTTTTTACTGTGCAAATATTTGTAATAAAAATAGTATGACATGAGAATTATAGTGTTCTGTGTTCTAACTGAAATCAATATATTTGAAAAATGTAGAAAAAACTCAAAATATTTGTAATAAATTTAAATTGGTATTTATTATTAACAGTGAGATTAACTGCAACTATTTTTTAATCTCATAATTAATTGCTATGTTAAAAAAATGTTTTATAGCCCTAATTAATTTATAGTCCTTCTCTTTGGCATAACATTCTTTTTAAGTATACTATATTTATTATCATTTTACTTTTCCTTTGTTGTATGTTTTATTGAAAGCGAATTTGTGTTTGAAAATGTTAAAATGCAGACTCATTTGGGAAACACACACATTAAAAATAATCGTACCTTGAGAGTAAGTGTGGGAATGAGCTGGACACAGGCATCTAATTAAATGAGAAAAGAAATGTTTGTTTAAAAACAAAACAGGAAAGCAAAGAGTTTAACAAGTCTACATGTAAGAGCCACTGTCATGTTTTATAAGACAAGTCAATTTGTGGAACTCCTTGCTAGAGGATGTGGTGAAGGCTAGGACTTTAACAGGGTTCAAAAAAGAGCTAGATAGATTAATGGAGGTTAGGTCCATCAATGGCTATTAGCCAGGATGGGTAGGAATGGTGTCCCTAGCCTGTTTCTCCAGAGGTGGGTGACAGAGGAGGGATCACGTGAGGATTACCTGTTGTGTCCCCTCCCTCTGGGGCATCTGATATTGGCCACTGTTGGAAATCAGGATACTGGGCTGGATGGACCACTGGTCTGACCCAGTGTGGCTGTTCTTATGTTATTAAGTAAATAATCTTGTTACCATATCTTACAAGATTTGTCACATATAGTTCCACATAGGTAATACCGCTCATTATTGAAATGCTGAATTGTCAGGCTCCAATTCAGGTGGTGATTTTTATGCAGAAACCTGGGAAATATATGGGTTCAGCTATCACTTAGGGCTTGTCTGCACTATTTAGTGGATCTATGCTGCACCAATCGATCCACCGACAGTCGATTTATCACATCAGTAGTGCTCTCCCATCAACTCCAGTAGCCAAAGTCGATGGGAGAGCAGCCCTCTCTGACCTTACTGCAGTAAATAAGCTGAAGTTGTGTAAATCAAATCAACTGGGAAGAGGGGGAAAAGGAGAGTGTAGATTAGGCCTTACTATTTCAGCTGCTACTATATTTAAAAAAAGAAAAAAACGCACAGAATGTCCAATATTGTGTTCCTTGCCCTTCTCCAGATCAAATTCATGGTGTTAAGAAAAACCCAATCAATAGCGCACAGAGGTTGTGTATTTAATCTGTACAGAAAAGGCTTGCTATTTGCCAGGATGGGCAGAGATGGCATTCTGTTTTGCCAGAAGCTGGGAATGGGTGACAGGGGATAGATCACTAGATTACCTGTTCAGTTAATTCTCTCTGAGGCATTGGCCACTGTCAGAAAATACGATACAGGGATAGATGGGCCTTCAGTCTGACCCAGTACGGCCATTCTTATGTACTTTGGCCCACATCCACACTGATTTGACAGACTACTGAGAGGTAGTCAAAACGGACAGACGCATGATTCGATCAAGTAGATCTGGCTGTTTTGAGACAGCTTTTTCTTCAGATGATTGTGTATTAGTAGTTCATAACCACGAAAGCCTTCATCTGACCCAAAAAAAAGCTACATTTTACTACTTGGACTGTCACTGCAGTGCCCAGGCGAATGTCAGCAGCAAGGCTTGCACACAAGGGTTTGAGGTAGCTGTGAGATATGATGCAGATTTGAATTAAACAGAAAAACGAGTTCCCCCCATCAGCGTACCCTGACACAATATGAACAAAGACTTTCTCCCTTCCACTGCAGCGCGTGTGGAAGCAGCGCCCTTCACGGCAATACATGGCATGAGGAAAGGCAGCCGCGGTGCTGGTTATTTCCCAGGGCAGGGCAGAGAAGGCAGCCATGGTTTGCGTGTTGCTAGTCAGGGGTAGAATTGATCCTGTGCATTCACTTGGCCCCCAGAAGACACACGACACCAAAGGCACAAGCTCCTCAGAGGCAAAGTCCTGCCTCTGCGCAGCCTGTCGAGCTATGGAATCGGCGGTAGGAGCAACGTCCTCGGGCTCTTACGAGGCTCCCAAAGCTGACTGGTCCGCCACCCCCGCCCCGCCATGTCCTCGGCAGGCCCAGGGAACCGGACGCCGACGCTAGGAGCTGGTGCCCAGGGGCAAACACTCACGCTGTGCGTTGCAGCTGGCTCAGCAAGTGAACGATTCTCTCCCGGACTGCAACTTGTTTGCTAAACTCTCTCCCCTCCCCTGCCGCCACATGCCAAAGCCTGCTGCAGGGCCACAGCTCCCTGCGCGGCCGCACGCCGGGGCTAGCTAGCTCGCTTTGAACGCCCCCTGCATTCGGCTGCTCGGTCCGTTTTACCTCGGGGGAGAGTCTGTCCCACGTATGTGTACACACGAGGATTTTCATCCTTCTGCAACTTGTTTGCTAAACTCTCTCCCCTCCCCTGCCGCCACATGCCAAAGCCTGCTGCAGGGCCACAGCTCCCTGCGCGGCCGCACGCCGGGGCTAGCTAGCTCGCTTTGAACGCCCCCTGCATTCGGCTGCTCGGTCCGTTTTACCTCGGGGGAGAGTCTGTCCCACGTATGTGTACACACGAGGATTTTCATCCTTTTTTCATTGCGGACCCCTAAACAAATTTTAAGTGCAGACCCCTTTGGAAATCTTAGCCTGCAGTCCCCTAGATCACAGCTTGAAACAAACAGCAGCAGCAGGTCTGGTAGCACTTTCTAGACTAACAAAACCATAAAGTGCTACCAGACCATTTGTTGTTTTGTTGTGTAACAGGCTAACTTGGCTACCCCCTGAAGCTTGAAAAACATGTGTTGAACTACTGGGTCAGTTCTCAAACTTTTTGGGCTCTGAAGCCCTTTACATGCGTAAAAATGAATGCAGCACCCCAGTGGTCCACTGATCGTATGTGTTATACCTATCGATGTTTCCAGTTTGTCAACCCCCTGGAGGGATCCGTGGAGCAGTTTGAGAAACACTGTACTGGGTCATTCACCTCTAGCCGAATAGGGCACTTATGTAATTTAAACAAGTTTATAGCGTTATAGGCCTGGCCCTAAGTCACTTTTAGTGGTGGATAGATGCTTAAGTTTTGTTTCAGACTTATGTAATTTAAACAAGTTTATAGCATTATAGGCCTGGCTGGATAGATGCTTAAGTTTTGTTTCAATGTATCAATATAGCAGGGGTCCTGAAGCTACCAAAATGTATTAAGCAATTTAGACAACTCCTAGCTGAGAAATCATCCCCCAGCCAGAACAATAGTTATTCTTGCACACCCTGCCTCACTTATTCATTTCATAGTGTAGCAAGCATCTCCTCATGTTATTTTCCCCCTCTAATACCTTGCTTAGAATTTGCCTATACAAAAGCAATTACCGAAAATGGGCCTCCATCCCGCAGAACCTGAAGCGCCTCATTATTCTACCTGCATTAGTTCTATTGACTTTGATTTAACAAATACGTATGCATATGCAGGCTTGAGGCCTTGAACTGCTTGCGGCAGAAAGCATTTTTTAAAAAAATACCTAAGTATCTCTTCCTTTCATATGAGATTAGAGTAAAAACATAAAGCCAACATAAACGATAAATAGCAATCTCCCAGCTCAGGAGACTAACTTGAACATGAAAAGCTTCAGAGGGGTAGCCAAGTTAGTCTGTAACAAGAAAAACTTAAACAAATAGTCTAGTAGAACCTTAAAGACTAACAAAACATGTAGACAGTATCATGAGCTTTTGTGGGCAAAACCCACTTCTTCAGATGATGGGAGTATAAGAAATCCAGATCCAAGAATAAATAAGGGAATGAGGGGTGGAGAAGAAGAAAGAGAGGCAGTGAGTAGATAGTTCAAATAGTTACAAGAGGCTTTTAAGAACCATTAGCACCTCCATTGGTTGGTTGGTTAAGTCATTAAAAGACTGAAGATAGCATGCTATATCCCGATTCAGATCATTTGCATAAGAATTAAACTTGTGAATGAAGTTAAGTTCCAATCCTGTGTATTTGGCTTGTGGAATTGGTTTGAAATAAAGTGGCTGACTTGGAGATCCATTAATAAGTGTCCTGGAAGATTAAAATGTTCTCCAACAGGTTTTCGTGTATTGCCTTTTTGGATATCTGATTTGTGTCCATTAATTCTTTTCTCTAGAGATTATCCAGTTTAGCCAATATAAATTGCAGTGGGACATTGCTGGCATAGATCACGTTAGTGGGTGTGCAGTTAAATAAGCCTTTGATTTGGTAGCTGATGTCACTGGGGAGGTGCTAATGGTTCTTAATAGCCTTTTGTAACTATTTACCCATGAAAGCTCATACCACCATCTACATGTTTTGTTAGTCTTTAAGGTGCTACTAGACTACTTGTTTTTGAACAAATGTTCAAAAACATTTACTTAGTTCAAAATGTGGACTAGTAATTTTTAAAACCATGGCTAGTATTTCAATGGTGGCATGGTGAGAGGGCAAATGGAGATGTTACATTAGACCTGATTATGGTTTGGATATCCCCTCCATTTCCTTCGTATGGTATCCCAAAATGCATGGATGCATTGTTGGTTACAGAAATCTAACTTTAAAAAAACAACAACTCCCAAAATGCACGGATGCATTGTTGGTTACAGAAATCTAACTTAAAAAAAAAACACACCTGTCAGTTAAAAACTGATACTGGAAAAGAAAGCCAGCATGTGAAATCATGGAGGTGTACTTTTTATAATACTATTTGCTTAAAAAAATGCCTCCATTTTAACATCCAAATCTCACAATTAATTGGTAATGACCTGAAAATAAGGCAGGTCTTTTAATTATGCATATTAATGCTTTCAGTGAAAAAAGTCTACCCTAAGAAAAAAACCAGGGGTACATCTACACAGCAATATTATTACGTTCAATTTGTGTAGTTTATTTCGAGTTAAGTCCTGCTGTGCAGATGCACCCCAAGAGACCTTAATACTTCTCCCATTTATTTTTGAAATCTTCAATCATTTAAACACTCCAATTTTCACAAGTAGCAGCAGCACTGAAAAGTCTCACTTCCTGTCTTTTCATTGTAAAGCCTCTCAAAGTCATATCATGAACATTTAAGTTCTATAATGCTAGTGATTTATGGCTATACCATCCCTCCAAAAATCTTAAGACTGTCAAAAGGAAGATCTGTTGCATTCTGGCTGTTGTAGAATTCTGGTAACATAACCTGTCAAATTCAAAATTAAAGCAGTGGATCTCAACTTTTCCAGACTATGGTACTCTTTACAGCACTCTGCTTTGTCTTGTGTACCCCCAAGTTTCACCTCTTAAAAAAAAAACTTGCTTATGAAATCAGACATAAATAAGACAGAACAGAAATAACCAAAATCAACTTAATTTTCTTTTGCAGTAAACACCATCCAAACCCAATTTTTACTGGCTTGTTTTTAATGTTTCTTGCTTTAAAAAAAGTTTGAAAGAATTCTAAATAGTAATTAAAGATGAGCATGTGAAGCATTCACATCTGTCAAAATTGTATTAGCCTCATCCACAAAGTAGAGGGTTTGAGAAAGTTTTTTTCTCCCTTTTACTTAAACATTGTTGACGTGGCAGTGTGAAGATTTATCTGTTTCTTTGCACGACTGAAAAAAATTGCTAACTTTCTCAGTTTTATCTTGTAATTATAAAATAAAGCAAACGGAATATAAATATTGTACTTACATTTCAGTATGTAGTATATAGAGCAGTATGAGCAAATCATTGTATGAAATTTTAATTTGCACTGATACACTACTGCTTTTTATGTAACCATTAAAGTAGGCCAGTGGTGGTCAACCTGCAAACCATGACTAATGGGAGCTGTGGGCACCAGTATCTGCAGATGCAAGGTAAGCAACCTGTCTGGCAGCCCACCATTGGCTTACGCTAGTGAACTCCATGGTCCACAAGTTGCCCACTACTGAACTAGGCAAATATCTACATGAGTTGATATACCTCTTGGAAGACCTCTACATATACCCCGGTTGTGAACCATCAGACTAGAGGTTAAACCTGGGTTTACAATAGTTGTCCCTTTTACATGCCTGCAAGTGCTGACTTACCTGTTGTTTGGCCAATGGCATAGCTTCAATTATTATGCCCAAAGGATCTCTACATTAGGTGGCAAATTGAAAAGTAGTGATATCCTTAGTTCCAGCCACTTGACACCAGAATGATAGTATTTACAGTAAAACTGCTGAGAATGTAAACCCTTCCAGTAGGTGGTTTCATTTGATTTTTCAATTGAAGAACAAATTAATAAAAAAACAAGTAGCTTGCCCTGTGGAAACAAGGACATTGTGGGAACTAAAGTTCCTATTACCTCATTTAAACCTTAAAACGTATCACTTAATTCCTGCATCTCCCCAAACATAAAAAAGTTCCCTACAAGTAGGTGAACCTGTTAATAAGGCCACAGCTTTGTTTTCAGTCAGTAACAAAACAGGGTTGCAGAGCACAAATAGGTTTCAGAGAAGTGTTAGACTGTTTCAGCAAAAGTGAGTCCAGTGGCACCTTAAAGACTAATTTATTAGGACATTAGCTTTCATGAGATACAACTCAGTTCCTCAGATGCTTGAAGTTAAAGGCAGGGACACGTGTATTCAGGAAGGTTAAAGTGCTCCCACACTGGTTTTTGTGTTACCATTGTTGATGTCTGATTTGTGTCCATTTATTCTTTTGTGTAGATAAGTGTCTGATTTGTGTCCATTTATTCTTTAGTGTAGATAAGAGTCCCGTTTGTCCAATGTACATGGCAGAGGGGCATTGCAGGCAGATGACAGCATATATCACATTAGTAAAAGGACAGGTTAACAAGCCTTTGATAGTATGACTAATAAGGCTAGGTCCTGTGATGGTGCAGATGAGTGGACAGAGTTAGCAATGGGGTTTGTT